GAGTGCGTGACAGAAGTATGCGAAGCGGAACGGAATTGGCGCGTTGTTGTGTCGCTGTTTCTATTTTCTACATTAAATAAAGAAATTTTCTGGTCGTCAAGCTGTTTTTCTTCGTTCGATTCATCTAATGAACTTGGACCTATATTTTCCAGCCATTATGACTCTTCGTCGTCGGAAATATGATTCAAATTGTCCACCACTTTTTTTTTTTTTTCGTAACTACAATCCAATTCTTCGCTTGCGCGATGCGAGAAAACCTGTTTAACCGGTACTACAATAGACGAGTACAAATACCGCGTGATGTTTGTACTCGTCTATGGCGTTATTTGTACTCGTCTAGGTGTAGTTGGATAATAACAATGTAAACTCACTCTATGTAGAAATAATCGAGAAGAATCGAACGCACCACAAATGAACGATTTGTGGCCAAAAGTTTCTCGAGGAAACAGAGACTCGAAACCCTGACGTGAGTCTTTCGCTTCTGCTGAACTAGCAGCTTTGCTAACAAAGTCAGGTGCGTCTCAACGAAGAAACATTTGTACAAGAGAAGGAAGCGACTATGTTGCGTTAGAATTCTCGCCTACAAATGGATGTGCACATTCTAAAGCGTTCCCATTTTTATGATTATGTTTATGTTTTATGATTTTGGCACATGTTCTTCCGAACGAGTTATGCACTTATGGGCCACCGCATAGAATTCCTTCGTGAGGTGATGAATTTTTCCACAGAATGTCGATTTCAGTGTCATTGGCGAAAACGAAAAATGAAAAACGAATTACTTGACTTGTAATCCGTTTTTCAAATTCCAGACGAAAACGAACTTGAAAACGAAAAATGAAAAATTGAAGTCGAAATTTGTTTTTTTTACAGCACCGAGTAAAACGATTGGCACTAAGGTACAAACACATTGTGTACCTTAGTGCCAACCGTTTTTCAGTTTCGTAGAAAAACGAAAATCAAATGTACTTGTTATCCGTTTTTCAAATTCCAGACGAAAACGAAAAACGAAAATTGAAGTCGAAATTCGTATTTTACAGCGCCGCGAAAAACGAAAATGAGATTTGATTTTGGTTTTTTACGAAATTGAAAAACGGTTAGCACTAAGGTACACGCATCGGGTCACTTTTCGTTTTTCGTTTTTCGATGGAGATGCATTCCTTTGATGTCGCAAGCGATGACAACAGGGTTTCGACAGAAACGAACAAGAATTTTGAAAAGATCTCGCCACAATTTCGGCGCAGGATGAATCATGTCATTTAAGGAAGTACCATTACATTTAGCGGCACAGTCAAATACGATTCGTACTTTTGTTGTCGATTTATCCA